TAGGCGCTGATAATGTTAATCAATTATGCTCATAATGTCTGTTTCACACTTTGCAATCTGTATTCACTCTAGCTCTCTTACCATCCTGCCATCTCTAATTTTTTGTGGCAGTCTTAATTAATGATTTTTGCTTCATGGCTGCTGGAGGGTTGTTTATATCTGGTGTGATTAAGTCAGAGGGTTAAAAACAGCGAGAGAGAGAGAGAGAGAGAGAGAGAGAGAGGGACAAAATAATCACAAAATGGGAGGCTGGTGGACAAGGTCACCTTCACGTGTATGAAAACAGTCTTAATTCACTCTGCTGGGGAAATTACCATGCTAGATTAGTCAAAGTCCATGCATACTTTCTGCATCCATATATCAAAAGTGTGGCATAATTCACAGAAGCAGAAAGCGAGACACCTACATGTTGTCGTTTCTCAATGAGAAAACCCAAAGTCCTGAGAAACCTACCAGACGAAATCATAAAATATCATGCATCCTCTTTGGTTTAGGTGTTATTGTTCTGTATATGATTATTTCTGGTGCATAGTAATGCAATAAAACAGAAAAGCAAATTGGCTAATATAATGATGATAGTTTTTATTGTCTCATTTTCCATGCTAAATACCTGCCAGTGATGTTGAGCATATTATTAAGTAAATTGAACCTGACCATCTCAGTTTCTTCATATTCGCCTCTGAATTCCTACCATTATTTTCCCTCCATTATTTCCATGCAAAACTTCACTTCTCTCTATCATTCCACAATGATTGCTTCCCTATTTCTGATCTTTAAAGGCAACATTCCTGTCCAACACTGCCAATCACACCTGATCTCTCCCTCTCTGACCCCGCCTTTTAATACTCTTTATGACTCCACCTTTTAACAACCCCTCATTTGCTGACCCTCATTCTGACCTCACCCTTTAACATTGCCCTTATTATGACTCTACACTTAACACTTCACTGCAAGCAGCAAATCTCATCAAAGAGTTGACCCCGCTCTTTAACACTGATCTCGATTTTCCACTCTTCTCAATCTGTCTCCACCCATCATTCTGACCCCGCCCATTAACACGCCTCCCCTCATTCTGATTCCAGTCTTTTACATTCTCCCTCATTCTGACCACACTCTTTAGAATTCCCTCCCCCATCTGACCTCACTATTTATCACTCCCCGTCATTTTAACACACTTCTTCATTCTGCCCTGATACTGCCCCTCATTCTGACTCCACCCCTTAATATAAATGGTGAGGACCCCTTACCATTCCCCTCATTTCCACCTATTTTTAACACCCCCTCAATCTGACCCCACCGCTTACCATTTCCCAAATTGTGACCCCACCTTTTAAGACTCCTCCGTTCTGAACCCACCCATTAACACTCCCCTTTTTCCTGACCCCGCCCTTTCACCTTCCTCCCCTCATTTTGATCCCACTCTTTGACATTCGCCCTCATTCTGACCTCACACTTTACAATTCCCTCCCCATCTGACCTTACTATTTATCGGTCCCCTTCATTTTGACCTCTTCATAACACCCTCCATCATTCTCTCCTCTTCTGACCACACCCTTTAACACTTTATCTCATTCTGACCTCACTCTTTGACTCTTCCCCATTTCTCCCTTTACATATTCTGCAATATTCCCCCTCCCTTTCCAGACCTTGCGGTTTAATACTCCCCTTACTAGGGGTGAAACGATAAAAATAACGGTGACAATAAAAATTTTTCGAGAAATATTTTTGTCGTCAAGTAGTCCTTCGATCTCATATGACCTAATGTAAGAGCCTGCAGTAACGCAGTTTGACCAGTGTGAGGTTGTAGCGATTATAGCGATGTGGATGACTACACAAGTTCTGCAGCTCAGTACTCTAAAGTCCAGTCACGTCACATTTATTTATATAGCACTTTGTGCAATAGATAGCCTTAAATCAAGCATTAGGGTTAAATCAAGAACGTCTCTCTTGTCTGTCATCACATTTTTTGTGCCAATTATATGTATTTGTATTGTAAAAAATAAATTGTATAATAATTGTAATTACATAGTAGTAATATGATTTTCAAAAGCTGAAGTGATTACCTTATTATATTTATTTGCTAGAATATGTTTAACTCAATATTTTAACTAATTGAAAAAGCTGAACAATCAATCAAATAATTGAATAGTATTACTACTATTAAATAATAATAGTTAGATTAATCGATTATCAAAACAATTGTTTGTTGCAGCCCTACCCCTTTACTTTGCTTACTCCACCCTTTATCACTCCCTTATTCCACCCCCATCTGACTCCGCCTTTTAAGACTCCCTCTTCCTCTTGACCCTGCCTTCTTATATCCCTCACCTTTCTGAATCTCCCTCAAACACCCACTTTTCCAAGTGGGTTTCTTTTTCATTCCTGTAAGCCTTTCCTTTTAAATATCGGCTGCAACTGGAAGTCCAACCATCTCACCTCACTCATGATTAGGCAGTTATTGATATTTAGCAGTATGCTGAGGTAATTTCTTCAGTCAAATACTCTGTGGTCCAAGGTTATCTATACTAGTGGCACGGTCAGGACCTGCAGTCTCTTTTATTTTTCCTGTCTTAGCAGGGTCTGTGCGTTGACTTGGCAACGCTGCAGATATTTGTGACTGCACTGAGAGATTAAGTGGCCAATCAACCTAACCATGCACTGCAATCATTCTACCTTATAATGTGGGCAGACTCCTGATGCCAAATCAGTTTGCCCTGCATTTATACTTCTGAAACTACAGGAATGGTGATGAAAACGTGAAGCATGCAGACAAAGCGTTCGGGTGAGAAGGTACGCACAGGGCATGGCTTTGTAAATTTCCTATGCATCCTTTTAACTAGGAATGAAGTTAGGAAAGCACTGGGGGGACTATGATCCCATGATTGATGGATATTTTGGGGTGACTTAATAAGTCTTGCTTCGTACCTGGATCTCATATTACTGCTTCAGTGTTATATTGACTTTCACAGAGCATGCTGGTAAATCCCTGCAGGGAGTGTGTGTGCATGTGTGTGAGTGTGCCATTATTTAGAGATGTGAAGAGGCATAGGGATGTGGGCAACAAGGCATGCAGCCTGGATGACGGTTACATTTTTCATTTAAGAGGTGGTGGAGAAGGGTAGCCTGCGAGTTATTGTTCATATTTGCCTGGGGCATCACACTGCTATGGTCGGCTCTTACTACGGAATATTCCATCTGTGCCAGAAATGCCTTCCACCCACCGGAGTCTCCCTGTCCTTCTATTCCACTCCAAAGGTGAACCTTATCTCACTCACTCTTTCTGCCACTCTTTGTTGATCGCTTTCTTTCTTTACAGCTTGTTTGTTTCAATACAGCCTTAAAAGCTCAAATTTGATTCTAAATTTCCCCTCAAATCCTCATAAATGTAATGTGTTTGCATCTGGGTTGTTTATCTAAGTTTACAAGAGGTTTGGGCAAAAATGCCTTAAATGTAAAAATCAGAATTCATTCTTCAGAGTGATTCCATACGTTTATTAATCTTTCTGTGTCTGTTCGATATATTTTATAAATTATATTTATTAATTCATTCATTGCAATTCTAATTATATTCTAATCACTGTAATGAAGTAATTTAAATAATTAGAATAAATATTTTTTTCTTTATTTTGATTTCGAGGTGGTATGCTATTGTCAGATTTACTCTTAAATTGAATAACATTTGTAATTATTATTATCAAGCAATATTTTTTCTTTAAAATGAAACCTTGAAAGAAATACCAAAATAATCTGTAAATAAGTGTTAAAAATGTGGATACAATTTTCAGAAGACTGGGTTTTAGGCAGAAATGATATGAACAGTTCATTTGCAAAAACCGATAAACGCCACTTAAAAAAAAAAAAAACTGATTTCCACTTGATGAACCTGTGATATCTTCTTCAGGGCGAAAAAGGAAAATAAAAGCTGAGACGTTTTCACGGAATCTTTCAAAAGCAGTATTGCATGTAATCACATCCATACAGTTTATGATCACAACAACAACAACGGTTGTCAGGCATCTACATTGTCATCTGAGGAGATCACAAAGATTAAACGAGTGTTTTTTTTAACTCTAAAACATAAAATGTGGAGTTATCTGCTTTTGCCAAAAAACGACTGTTTGAGTGATCTGCTTTTGCTATAAAACAAACTTTTACTATGTAAAAAAACATTCTTTCACTTTCACAACAACTTTCAATGAACTTTAATTTTGTGAATTACCTGTATTTGTTTGTTATTATTACTTAATCAAAACAACCCAACTGCAGTTTGACTGATATTAACTGGAATGCGCAATAAAAAAACGTGATTTCTGAAAAAAAAAAAAAAATGGAGTTATCGGTTTTTGCAAATGAACTCTTCATATTTCGTTATAGAAAAGCTGCTGCTACTAGTTGCTGCAATGAATGTTGTTAAAGGAAGTTGCTTCAGAAAGAAAGAGAAAAATCTCAGGTCTTGAGAGCAGTGTGACAGCGGCAGAGCTGGCAGCGGTTGCTATCAGCAGGGCCCTGCGGCACAGGAAGACACCTACAGGCAGTGGTTTGAGCGCTATCCTACCCTCAGATCTCCAGACTACTGAGAAATCGTCATACAAGCTCAAACACGCATGCACAAACGCTCGTTCCACCGGCCAGATGATGCTGGATGATTCTGTGATGGAACCGAAGGAACCTTTCTAATTACATGTGCATGTTTCTGTCATCATTTCTAAGAGACTCAACAGCCAACGCCGTAGTCTGACTTTCAAGAATTTCCACAAGGAAGTGCATTTCTGGAACTAAACTAGTGAGGCAAATCCTCTTATAAATCCTTTTAAAGAGCGTGGCGAGCAGGAGAAAGGAGAAGTTTCTCTCCGGCAAACATGTGCAGGTTGTTTGGCTGCTGTAGTAGGAGAGGAAAGACAACATTCTCCCTGTCGGCTCTGTGCAGGAAGGGGCTGAATACTAATACAGCACAAGAAACACACACACAGGAGAGCTGATGCTGACATACACTCATATACATGTGCATACTTGGGGAGAGAAAAAGTGCGACCTGAGCCCTCGAATATCCTGCCATCCACTCGAACGGCCATGACGAAGCTGCGGTGTGCCTGTTTGCCCTGAACACGCTCCGACAGGCAGGCGTATCGCAGGCCGGGCCGCAGGTCATTGAGCAGGACGACCGGGCTGGGCTGGGTGGTGGTTACCGGAGGTGGGGGGAGGCAGGGATCTCCTTGCCTGGCCTGCACCACCATCAAGTCCAGTGTGTGGCGCAAACGGAGGGCGCTAGACAGTAACTCGCTCTCGGCAGAGCGGCAGCCGTCAGGCTCGAAGCCTTTGAACAGCGTGTCTGGGAAGTCGGCCTGGTCCGAGGTGAAGTCGGCCGCGGGGTTGCTCAGGCCGCCCATGGCCAAGTGAGCTTGCGAGGCATTGGGAAACTGGATGAAGGACTTCAGGGCCATCTCGGCTGCCTTCATCTTAGCCTTTTTCTTCGTAGGGCCGGTGCCCTCAAACGTCAGTCCGTTAACTTCCACGGCGATGGAAAAGAGAGGCGCGTGCACTGGTCCTGTCTGAGAGACCATCAGATACTGTAGACCCGGTCTCAGCTCGTTCAACTGGACCAGAGCGTTCTTTGGTGCATCAGACCATGCCAGTTTCTTGCAGTACAGACGCAATTTGCGCAAGTGTCCGTTATTGTCTTCCTCTAAAGGTCGCTTTCGCTTGAAGCCAGATGCCCCATCCCTGGGCGCATCGGACAGGAAGAGTGTTTGGCAGTCTGATGGAACAATAGCGCAATCTTCCAAATTTCCCGTGTTACGGTTCTCCTTGACCTCAGTACTACTGGTGCCTAGGTTGGAAGCAGAAATGACATGTTATTATGATCAAGGCACTCAATGAGTGCCATCTTCTTCTCCATTCTGCTCATAATCTCACATGACCTGATAAAAGTCATATACAAGTTGATATTAAAAACTGCCATTACCATCCCCAAAGCAACAGTTCCATATGAGAAAAGCCTCCTCTACTTAACTGTTGCAAAAACCCGAAGACAAATCCTCTAAAATGGGGCATTATCTGGCAAATCGCTCCGTAATCTCCCACAAAACTGGCTTGGAGTCTATACTTAAAGTGGGTACAAATCGTCTCCCCATATACAATGCAAAGGAGATGCCCTTTTGTAATGCAGGAGAGCAGACGGTTATGAGATTTCAGTGTGTGAAAGTCTGATCACACATTAAAGCCTCTATTTCACACCCCAACTGTGTTGTGATGGAACCAAATGAAATGCATCTGTGAAAATAAACTTCAACACATGGATGCAAGCCTAAATTGTGAGAAAGGACCAAAATGTTGTTTTTGTAGTGCTGCCTGTCTCCAACTCTTCTAGCATACTGTATATTGCATATGTTCAAATCTAATTTAATGTTTTAATTTCATGAAAGGGTTTGTGTTAGTGATTATGCATACTGACTCAATGTGTCCTCGTCTTCTGTGCAATTGGCTGCTGGGCTCATGTACTTGTAGGGGGCGATCAGTGCAGACAACATGTTCAGTTTCTCTGAAAGGTAAAAGGAAAAGAATGTTTGTGTAAATACATCACATACTATGATTTGTACATAGATGCTTATTTCTTACAAAGTTATAAATAAAAAGATGGAGTGATTCTTCAGCCTGAAATACATTCTGTGCTAATCAAATGAAAACACTAAGTATGTACAATGGGATTACACAGTTGCAATGCCTCAGTGCTTGCATACTTATATAGATTATGCTTTTGGTCTTAGCGGTGGTGGAAACTGAGTTTCTAGTTGAGTTGGCGATAAACCAAATTGTTTTCACAGCCCTCTTTTCCCTCTATATCCATGTGAGTGTGTGTGTTGTTAACACTGCAGGTTCCTATTAGGATCTCTGCTGGGCTCAACCCAGACTGTGGGGAATTGACAAAGCTGCCTGGACTCATAATTACATCCCACCTTTCTCAACATCCCCTAATGATCAATAATTTTAATGGGAAGACAAAAAAAAAAAAGAAAAAAAAGAAGCAGAGGTTTTATGTGTGTATAGAAGAGGGACACTGAGTGAACAAAGAAGTGAAATGGGTGTGCATCATTTTGACTAAGGGTAGTGTACAGAGATCCAGCGTTGGGACCCCAGTCATATCTAGGCATCTGCTTATTTATAGAAACACTGGAGTAAGCTCTTTTGACTAGGGGTAGTGTACAAAGGGACCCCAGACCTAGTTAAGCACCAGAATGTTATAGAAACATAGGAGTGGGTCATTTTGACTGAGGGTAGTGAACAGAGATCCTGTATGGGCCCCAGCCATATCTTGGCACCTGATTTTTGCAGAAACATCAGGGCGGGTCATTTTGCCTCAGGGTAATGTACTGAGACTCTGCATGGGGCCCCATATGTAGACATCTGATTTTTGTGATTTTAACATGGGAGTGAGCTCTTTTGACCGGTGGTAATGTACAAAGGCACTTGGGGGCCCCAGATCTATCTTGCCACCTGATTTATGTAGAAACATGGGAGTGAGCTCTTTTGACCCCAGGAAGTGTACAGAGGTACTTGGGGGCCCCAAGTACCAGAAACATTGGGGTGGGTCATTCTGACTGAGGGTAGTATACAGAAATCCTGCCATATCCAGATTTTTGTAGAAAAATAGGAGTGACCTATTTTGACTCAGGACAGTGTATAGAGGCATATTGGGGGCCCAGACCTATCTATTGCCAGAATATGATAGAAATTTGGTAATTAGTCATTTTGACAAGGCAGTGTACATAAATCCTGTTTGGGGCCTCAAAGGACCCTAGAGGGCAAATCTAGGCATCTGATTATCACCTGAATAGGGGATGAGCCCTTTCGACTCAGGACAGCCTGTGGAGGCCCCTGGGGGCCCCAATCATACCTAGATTGCAGACAATCTGAGAGACATGGGAAAACATGGCACTCAGTATGTCACATATTTTTTCAGAAAATCTACTTTATCATTTTGTGGCCGGGGTTTCAATTACTCACTTAAGCGAATCTGTTTGCAAGGGTCAGGAAAGGTTTGCTGTCAACTCCACATTATAGCAAAGAAACAAAAACAATTCCCCCACTTACTGCACGTAGAATGAATTGAAGCCACTTAAATGATAGAGAGTGCGGTTTTGTAATAGCAACAAGCTGCAATACAATAAGACAAAAAGGTCAATACAGTAACGTCCACCAAGCATCGTCACGTGAGAGTCTAAGACACGTGTCGGACACTACTGCCCCCAGTGACTGGCAATAACACAATCTAAAAAGTCTCACCTATCAGCCAGCCATATGAAATCCCTCTTGCTTGACTGAAACGTGACCAAGTCCTGGCAGCAGGGAATTTTGACAACTCGTAATGTGTTGAGTGTGATAAGGAGCAGGAATCCAATTATTTTGCTTTCCCAAGCAGTGGTCAAGAGATTCTCTCTCCCTCCCATCAGAAGTGTGGAGGATTTATAGGTCACATATAGCACAACCAAAGTGCTGAACGTCAGCACATAGCAGGGAAGATACGGTAACTGCATTGTACGCTTCCTGTGTGTCACTTCCTGAATGATGGCTGAGGAGAACAGGGCATGAATAAGTGATGGGAGGTGCTATCACTGTCATCAACCAATCACAAAAGTGCTGATACAGACTCTCATACTCATAGAGTGATGATATGGAGGTCTCTCGAAGTTCAGTGGTATCTAACAAGCGCAGAGCTTTGCCATCACTACAGAGCCATTGAAGGTTACATGGCTGACGTGACACCAAGAATCAAAGGGGGCCTACAGGAAATTAAATGTGAAGTCTGTTCATCTCACAAATGAGAACGAGAGTACAGTGTACAGCTCAGTAAAGTACTGCATTTGGACGAAATACACAGCTACTATAAATGGTACGGGTCAATGACATGGTGTCAGTTTAAATTCTAATTTCAGTTACACATAAAAAGAGAGGTTACAAATGAATTATACAGTATACACACACTTTTTGAAGTGAACGAAAGAGATCAGCAACAGAAACAAAAGACAGGCAACACACATCACCTCAGACACAATCGCTGGAATCATGCTCAGTCAGTTGTCACCGCTGGATGTTTCGTCATGTCACCCTCAAGCACTTTGACTCGCCTGTCTGTGAAGCCAAACAATATGAGCAACTAGCTGGAGCTCTTAAAACCAATCCATTACTGCTGCCACGTTGAGGAAGGACGAATCATTATTCTCTCTGAACTACGGCTGTCATGAGACCAAGATTTCAGGAGTCGAAATATCACCATTCTTGCTACCAATTTCAAAAACTAGTATGTTATTCAAGACACTCGTACGAAGTTAAATATTAATAAATATACTACTGGTCAAAAGTTTGGATTTTTTGATGTTTTTGAAATAAGTCTCACCAAGGCTGCATTTATTTGATGAAAAGTATAGTACAAACAGTAATATTGTGAAATATTTATTCTTCAGAAATAATTTTAATATTTATTAATGTCATTTAAATATATTATCAATGTTGAAAACAGTTTTGATGCTTTTTCTTAATTGCTTAATTTATTATTATTACTTTTTTTTTTTTAAACTGTGATACGCTACCATTCAAAAGTTTGGGTTAAGAACTTTGTTAATAACTAAGCACCAGTAATAATTATTAATAATTGAGTACCGTCATATTAGAATGATTTCTGAAGGATCATGTGACACTAAAGACTGGACTGATGGCTGTGATGGCTTGACTTAACTAACTTACATATTAACATATTATACCATGATATATAACAAACAATAGAATGTAGCTTTCTAGTATTTCTCGACTGGTATCATAATATATGTGGTAATTTTTTAGCATCGTCTTGGTACCAAAGTACTTTTGACATCGCTCCTCTGAACCAAAGAAAACAGCAAATGTCAGGTCAGAACCAGAGGCCTGGCAGACTGCCATGTTGTCAGGAGACAGAGACGAAGAGAGAAACGGTGTAAATTCAGAAGACGAGAGGGGCTTTGGTGCACCCTCCTCGGCTATCAGGAGCGAGCAGAGGTAATGAGCCAATCACATCTTCCCATGGCCCTCATAACCGTCAGGTCAGATGAGACACTAGAGACTCTATTCAAAAAGGCAGTGGAGAAATCATTGACTCTCTCTCCCTCTCTTTATCTCTCTTCTCTTCCTTTCTTTCAATCACTCTTTCGGTCTAGGAGACCACCGATTAAACACTGGTGAAGTGGCAAATGAGGGAGGCCGCATTGTCTCGCCATCACGCTAGGAATCGGATTTCTGTCAGACCGCTCAGCTGGAGCTGGGCAGAGACACCTTTTGTGTGTGCTAACCATCTATGTGGGTGTGTGTGTGTGTATTTGGACTTACTTAGCTAAAGTTTGAAGACAAATTTGTCCCAAAAAGTTAGCTATATCTGACAAAATCTTTCTTTGGAGACAACCTGTGACATCCACATTAGGAAAAACTACAACCTAAAAATCACAAATGAAGCAAATAACAAGAGTTTTAAAACAATGGTTCTCATCCTTTTTGACTCGACGGCCCCTTTTTTGTTCAAAACAATAATTCCAGACTATAATTTCTGGTATTTCTGCTGTAATTATAGCAAAGCTGCTTGTTTTTAAACCCTTTTTAATGAAGAAAAACTGGGAATATTGATATATTAAATGCATTAACCATGATTAATTTTGTGATTTTTATGTTAAAAACTTCAGTTATTGAGGGGAAAAAAATAAATGTGATTTCAATTTACATATTGATTGTGTGTGTGAGTGTGTGTGTGTGTTTGTGTGTTAAATGTAAAATTAATTTAATATAGTAATAATGATTTTTTAGTAATAGTGGTCCCTTAAAAGTTTGCTGAGGCCCCTTAGAGGGAATATGATTATTTTACATTCATATAGTTAGTTAAACTGTATGTTAAATACACTGAACAAAATTATAAACGCAACACTTTTGTTTTTGCCCCCATTTTTCATGAGCTGAACTCTGAGGTGGATGGATTATCTCGGCAAAGGAGAAGTGCTCACTAACACAGATTTAGACAGATTTGTGAACAATATTTGAGAGAAATAGGCCTTTTGTGTACATAGAAAAAGTCTTAGATCTTTGAGTTCAGCTCATGAAAAATGGGGGCAAAAACAAAAGTGTTGCGTTTATAATTTTGTTCAGTATATTATATATATTAAATATTTTAACATTATTCTATTAATAAAATATTGAATTATTTTATCAAAGACAAAATAAATGAAATAAAGACAATAAAATGTATATCTATCTATCTATCTATACACACCTAATAAAACCTAATGTAAAAACTAAAGGTAAAAAAGCAAATTTTCCTTACTATAGGATAGTACATGTACAATTTAACAGTAGTACAATGTAACAGCTCAGGACAGTCAGTAGTTAAATGCTCGAGACTCTGTGGCTTTATCCATTGGCGTTTTGACGTCATGTTGTGCGGTTCCAGAGTGATAAGTCATTCACGACTCAGCTGTTTGGCCCAAAAAATGGATGCAGAACTCCTATTCTTCACAGCATACCAGCACA